GCCGACTCCCCGCTGAGCAGGGAGCCTGATGCGGGGCTCGATCCCAGGATCCTGGCATCCTTAAGGACTGAGCCACCCAGGTGCCCCGGTTTAAAGTCCTCTTACGTCTCATCTTATTGGAAGCCCCCTCCGACACTGATAAATCACTGCCTCTAACTTAAAATGCTCTTCTCTTGACTCCTGTGCTAACATTTTCTGCTGCTTCATTTCCTACCACTTTTCAGTGTCTTTCCCTATATCTTCCTCAAATTTAAGTGACAATTTCTGACCCTTCCCATTCTATTTTCTTTCTGGATGATATCATTCTCTCCTACAGCTTTAACTACTGCTCATTTGTTGATTACTCTTGAGACTTAGCTCCAATTCATAATTTCTATCTACAGGACATATCCCCTTAATGCCTCATTAGGATATAAATTCAGTATCTGAGGTGGAAATCCTCTTCTGAAGTTCATGCTACAAACCAACAAAAGAAGTTTCAAAAACATCTTGCTCTTCCTTTACCAGCCTCCCTCACCAATCCTTCAAGTCCTGTATTTCCTCCAAGTTCAGTCAATTTCACTACTGTTAGTTCTAGTCCTCTCTAACCTCACTGCCAACACCTCACAGGTAAACCCAATAGAGAAATGGATAAACACTCCACTGAGACAAGTAACAGGATTAGAGACTCTAAGTCCACTGCCCTTACTTTGGACAGCAAACAATAATATCCAGAGAATTCTAGTGAACATTTCCTGAGATTGTAAAAGTTGTTTTGAGGTATCTGGTTCAGTAAAACCACATTTGTTACGTGATACTAAGAAAGTATCATATTAATTTATAGGCATTCACTAATTCTAATGGTTTATTTGTGGGTTAGATATGTAACTAAAATAGTTCAAAGGCAGTAACACTTGGCTAATGCAGACCACCTTTCAAAAAAATCCACTTATAACAAGTGACACCCTTGTTAAAGAAGATCTAAAACATTTGAGACTTATTATACTTGAAATGTCCAGAGAGATCATATAGTTCAAAACTCTGACCTTGTAGATTTAAGACCTACTACCCAGGCAAGTCAACTCACTTCTGTAAGATCAAACAGCTAGTCACAGAGATACTAACAATCAGTTAAAATAAACCAGAGCCTCATTTGAGTAAATACAATTTATCTTTAATTTGAACATTAAAAAATTATGGTATTTATAACAAAGCTAAAGAGGCTTTGTTCCTTCTTTGAATACACACACACGTATATGCTACTTTTTCTATAAAGTGAATTTTAAAACATCTTGAGAAAAAGCTAGCCTAAATATAGATTAAGAGAGCTACAATATATGGGGGAAAAAATCCATAACTTGTGTTTGACTACAAACAACTGAGTAAATACTTCATTCAACTTAAAAGTCTTCATCAAATGACAGCTAAAACTTACTTTTTTCTAAACTCCAATGAAGAAAAAATTGCATTATATTTATTTGATTATATAGCCCCCTTTTCTTCAATGCGCATTCTGAGGAAAGCACTTAACAAGTTAATTCAAATACAGTATTTTTTTTACCGTGCACTATATAAGAAACTTCAGATTTATAGCCAGTCATTACTCTTGATTCTATGTCAAATTGTTTAAAAGATTCCCATGGAAATCCAAGAACATAAGATCTCCAAGAGAAAAAGTTCTAAATTAATGTCTATTCATTAAAGAAGGACATGAAACCAAGTAACAACTAATACATAATTCATCTTATTCCTAGAGATGTTATCTTGATCAAGACAACATAAAGACTATCTGACATGACCACACATTTTATCAAGAGTACAATCTTAGCTCAAGAGTTTAAGAATGGGGAAGTGGCTAACTTGGCCCTAAATGCCAGACTCTCTTCATCACATGCCTTTAGGGATGTGGGAACAATTTGTCTACAGCACTACTTCTCAAAGTGGGATCCCCAAATTAACAGGATCAGCATCTCCTGGAACTCTGCCAGAAATGCAAACTCTGAAGCCCTAACTCAGCCCTACTAAATCAAAAATGCCAGGAGTGGGACTCAGCATTTGTGTTTTAACAAATTTTCCAGGGTACTCTGATGCAGGTTTTATTCAACTAAGGCACCTTTATCTTTCTAAGTAACTATTATGTGCCAGATACTATGTCAAGGCTTTACATCATCATCTTCAACATTACAACCACATCACCAACAACAGCTGTTAACATTTACGATATACTCTATGCTAAGCACTTTGTAATCCTCATTTAATTCTCACAATAACCCTATAAGGAGATATTGGGGTTTTTTTTTTCATTAAGTTTTTTATTTTAATACCAGTATAGTTAACATATAGTGTTATATTAGTTTCAGGAGACATTGTGCTGTGCTTATTCTCATTTTATAAATTTAAAGAAACAGTAACTTGCCTAAATTAAAAACAAACAAACAAAAAAACCCCCCCAAAAAACAAAAAACCCCAGTAAGGGTTAGAGCCCAGATCCAAAGCCAGGCTCTAAAGCCTACATTAGTGTCATTATCATATGACATCACCATTATCATTGTTACTGCCTCCAACAAGCCTATAACCTAAGAAATGTAATCCCTATGTTACAGATGTGTAAAGAGAATCGGGTTAAGCCATTTTCTCAAGACCAAATAGTGACAAAAAATAATTTATATCTAAGTACGTCTGATTTGAAAACTCATACTCTTAACCAGTCTGTTATCCCTCCTAAATAAAAACAAAAGCTATGACTGATTGAATGCCTACTACTATCAATTATTCCATTTAACCTCTTGATCCCCTTGCTGAATTCCTGAGTAATATTCTATACCTCAGGCAGAGGGTTAATTTAGCAGACTGGGTTAAATCAAGGAGAATCAAGCTCTGTCCTCTAGCTGAGTAGAATCAGAGTGGCCAGCAGTCATACATTTCAAACTAAAACAGAAATAGTAATGACATCTGCAAGGGACTGTCACAAAAGGGGAAGGTGAGGAAACAAATGAAAATAAATATATTTTTTTTAACTATTACTCTGGCTTCTGTACATTAAATTACCAATCAGACTTCAAATGCTTTGAAAAGATAACTTAGGGTCAGTATATTTTGGCTTTCAAATACTGATGAACTTAGGATATTTTTTTATTCCTTATATTTCACAGTATTTTCCATATATAAACATCTTGGATATATTCCTTTGATGAAAGTCAAGTCTTAAAGATATCTCTTCCACCAAAGAGTAGCAGGTATCTTACCAGCAACTTGTTCATGGCTAATTAAACAAAAACAAGTTATGATCAAAGAAATAGGAACTAAGTACAATGGACAAGTGTAATATATAATTTTATTGGAGTCCTCTGCATATTCCCTAAGGCATGTGCTACAACATCCTCTTACAACGCTAGAATCAAACACCTGAAGAACGAGAGCTACCAGTACATGTACTAAATATTACATAGGTTTTTATGAAAAGTATCACTATACTACCATAGCACTTAGGGAAGATACAGAGTCAAGGGAAGTTTCAAAATGATCATGTTATTCCAGGTCACTGCAAGTGTGGAGGAAGTGTAATGGAGCTTTGGCTTAGATCCAGAGTACACTTTTAGTCTATGAGGAAATACATACTTTACGCATACTTAACAGAGCCCTCCTTTCCTTTAAAAAAAAAAAAAAAAAACCACAAAACTCTTTATACCAGCAGGGTTTACCAAATAGAGTTGGGTGCCAGGGGTGAGAAGGAAGGTAAAGAGCAAACAATGTTCGAAAATGGCTAGTCAGTAAATTCCCAGGCAATTCCTATTCACTTTCCGAGGAAAGTGTTATGGAAATCTGCTACTATACTGACTTTCCAGAGAAACATTTATAACATCTGATTCTTCCTTTTCATATAAGCCTTGAGTACACTTTAAATGCTATAGAGAACCCAGCACTAAGCTGAACCCTACCCTTAAGACTCAAATTGAAATAAAAATTAATTTTAGAAAAGCCTATTAAAAAGCTGAATCATACAATGTACATTAAAGCCTTTGTAAAAGCACTGAAATATAAGTATTTAATGAACTTTACTTGGAAATCTAATTAATTTCCAACTAAAGAAAGATTATCATGAGCAAGTCACAGGTATTAAGTCAATTGTTAAAGGAAAAAGCAAATACGTGTATAAAACCTATAACCTTTGGGTCTCAGTGCTAAGTGTAAAGAAAGATGTCCCAACTGTCAGATTTAAGTACACTTAAAATCAAGATAATAGACTACTATTTTTTTTTCTATATATGTGATGTTCTGACATCTTAAAAAAAAAAAAAAACTTCCTGGCTAGCCAATTCTAAGAACAAGGGGGTGAGGTGGGAACATGCCTTTGATACGCAAACTAACCAACCCAAAACTTACCTCCCTCATCTGGCCCATGCACCCCAGGATGCAATATTCTTCTGCCTTCACCATCTGAGGGCCAGCTACCAGGCAATGAGGGACTACCCCTATGAGTTTAGAGGCTATAGAAATTATTCAACTAGCCAAACCCTAAATTGTCTACCCTGCTCTGCCATTCTTCAATATAGCTCTAGCCTCAGCTTTTCCCATGCTCCTGCTTTCTGCCTCCTGACCACCCTGAGGCTTCTCTAAGTGCCCCTCAGATGTGTGCTATGCTTCCTATTTCTAGGACCGGTGATTAAAATAAACTCTTATTTCCCTGAGCCTCTCCTCTGTCTCCTCTTGTGACTGGCCATTACAGAACACAAAATAGGCCAATCTATGCTCTTTACATATGACTGTTTTTAAGTTGTACACACATCAAAAAATCTAAGTTATAATTACTAAATTGATTTTCCCCCTAGATTCTTGCAGACAGTGGCATATAGGAAAGAAAGCTTTCTCCACTAGTATAGATTAATTGAAGGGTGCATTTCTATGTCCACCTTGGAAACTACCTTAATTTTGCCATTATTTCCCCAAATTTAACCCTGGCATAAAGGATACCATCTGAAATGAACAAGGCTCAAAAATAAGAATAGAAATTAAATACCCACCTGTGAAGGTGTACTGGTAAGTTCCATCTTTTCCTGTGATTTCTCCTTTGCTAGTCGAGCAGCTTCTTTAAATTCCTGAAACTTTTCTGCAAACTGAATGTATAAAGACTATATACATTAACCAAATAAAATAATAGGTCTCAATGCCCACTTTTACTTTGGTTTTCTTTCATTTTCTGAATAACTGACTCTTAACAAGCAACCTAGCCCTAAAATCAATTACAGGTGTAATATGAAAATGAAGGTTAAAGAAAACTAATACCAAACATTTGTTTGTACACTATCAACTACTCTGAGCCACTGCATTGAAAAACATCACAGTATAATGAAGTTAGAATTTGGTGTCAGCAAGTTTACCTATGTCCTTTCTTGGTTGTTCAGATATACTTTAAGACCAAGGTGCAGAGTATAGGATGTGAGTGGAATCAGTAAGGATTAGTACACTTTGCTTATCATGGAGAAAACAATCTTTTAGGTATTTACTCATAAACATCTCAGTATTTGGAGCTTGCTTTTAACTTTTACTAGAATATAAACTCTCGTATTATGTAAGGCATTTTATTTTCAACAATACAAATAGCAACATTTATTATTATACTAAATGATATTACTAAAACTTCATTTCCAAAGATTCCTAAACAGCTAATGTACAGCGGCAGAGAGGAAAAACATGGCTCCACAAAAGTCTTTAAGATTGGTAAAAACAACAAAAAAAACTACAGTACATGAAATGCTAATTCTTATGAACTCATAGTAATCTAGAAATGTCAGGGCCACAAAGAGTATCTATTATTGTTTTGGAAGCGGAAACTAGTCTACCACTATTCTCAGAGGGAGTAAGTTAAGGCTACAGAATAACCAAATTAAAAAATAAAAAATCTCTATGCAACTTAAAACACCTGCTAGAGTTGTAATAAAAATATGAAATTACAGTTCCCTCCTCAAACCCCCATAAGCCAACCCTGGTTTCATTTCTCTCTTGGGAAAGAAAACTTTGGAAGGAGAGGTCATGTGCTGGGGACTTAGAGGAAGGTCAAAATTAAAATTGTTATTACAGCTTTCCTTCTTTAGACTTGTCCCCACCATCTATAACTTGTAGATCAGGGAACTGAATCTATATTAGTATGATTCTCCTTTTTAAAGTAAGGAGATATTCTGTTCAATTAATCTGAACACAAAGCTAAAAAGGTCTCATTCACACTGGTGTAAATGAAATAAAAATGAAACCATAATTAATTTGTCTTTACGTAATTTGAAGTAGAACAATTTTTCTTACACTCGTCTAGCATTCCAAAGTAGTTAATGCTTAAAACCCTTTCAAACTTCATAAAGGCTCACACTATTGCTAATTTTTATAGGCTTTGGGTTTCCATGGAACAAAATACAACTTAGTAAGCACTCCAACAATCCAAGCATAGTTGCAATGTTCCTCATGCATCAGCCTTAGGAGACCAAATATTTCTCTCAATGCTGTTAGTCTCACTTATTTTGAGACACTCTTGTCTAGAATTGCCTACAGAGCCTTCTCAAAACCCTTAAAATGCTTTGATTTGCTTAAGGTTTTTAATGATAAAATAAGCCAGAATAATTACATGCTTGCTTAATTTATGTAAAAGATTATAAACTCCTTGGGGTCCCCCATAGTTTACAAAGAAGCAATACTGGTCTCCAAGGTTGCTTGGAAAATAAATCATGATTTTGTCATCTTTCAACAAAAACATTCTGAAGAGAATGATCATATAAATATAAACTCTTAGAGCCAAGTCTAGTGAATAAATATACTAGACTTCAAGAGCTAATGTCAATCCTCCTTCACAATACTAGGAATCACTACCAGTAAGGCTGGTCAAAAGTGTATGTTAAATCTAAAGAGGAAAAATACAATTCTTGAAATATAAAAGTCATTCCCAGAAAAAATATCAAATGAAAGGATAAAGTATAATTGACAGGATTTAATAAACTATTACTTTAACCACATTAGCTAGCTGCCAGTAACCTCAAAGATGTGACAATAACTTAATTTGTAGTCAAAATTACTTAGACTCAAAAATCAGTTTATGCAAGTTTGAGAAATTAATCCACAATTTAGTTCCTATGTTGTCAAGAAATTTAGCAACTGTAAGCTAATTATAGTTTTAACTTTTTTTTTGCTATAGACTTTAACAGACTATTCCAAAAAAAAGTTCCAAAAAGCTTCCACTTGAGTAATGGCAAAAGTATTAGAATAAATGTGTAATTTCCTAAGGGGATTATTTATGGAGCAGCAATGCTCAACTGGATGCCTGTCTCCTTGTTCTACCGAAAGACTTTGAATCTAACTCTTACCTTTACTACAACTCAAGAAAATGTATTTGGAGAATACGATGCGTGTAAAAGAAACCAAATTAGATAACATTTGTTCATGTTAATCATCCTATTGGGGATGGACTTATAATCATGAAGGCAAAAGTTAAAATATCCTTAAAATTGGTCTCTAAACTATAATTTATATCAAAAAGATAACAAAAACATTTGACAACAGTGTTAAGGAATGTCTACAACCAAAACAAATGGAAACAAAGATAACTTCAATTACTGAGCTATCTAACTATATGCCTGAGTCAATAAATACTTACAAAAAAGTAACATCGTTTTAAAAAGAACTCATTTAAGAATCCAAATGATTTCTGTAACGAATAGCTTACGGTTCAACATGAACCGTGTCTATCTTCAAGAGCCTGATGACCCTGAACCTGAACAACCACAACTCCCAAAAGCGACCAGATCCTGTGTATACCAAATTCTACGTAAGATGTTCCAATTGTAGTGTTATCCTTTTATGGAAGGCTTGAAAGAGAGAAGTTTAAAGCATAAACCCTTGGGTCTGGTGAGCCTAAAAGTGAGTGATCCTTATTTCCTTGATCATCGTCTTATCCTGGGAGTTTCCTTTTCCTTACATACTCTTTCTGGGCGACACCCACAAGATTTCAAGACACTGGTGGTATGAACACCGCATGCTGCTGCTTACAAGCAGGACAACTGTTTTATTTCCAATATTTATTAGCCTGGTGATGTTCTGTATTTTATTGGCCTTTCTGGCCGCAGCAGTTTACTTGGTCAGTATGTTCCAAGAACTCTTCATGTGTTTATTAGATCTGACTCTATACTACATCAGAGTTTGGAGTAATTCTCACCCAGATAAAGCATCGTTTTTCCTAAACAAAGGAATTTATATGTGCCTACTATCATGTCAAAAAGCTGAAATCTTCATCACTATCAGCTTAAGTTTTCACAATTCAGAAAAGCTTGGTATCTACCTACTTGCAGACCATCTCCACTAAGGGTGCTAATCCCTGAGCAAAGTCCATTCTGAAGTGATAATCCCTTTTATGTTAACTGTCTGTGTGACAATTCTGTCACACGGTTAACCACACAAATACTTCTCTATCAGTGGTGACCATTTTTAATGTATACAATTAATTTTCCAATTGACAGTGAAATCCAATGATCTCTCACTTCTTGCTTTCAAGTCACTACAGTTGTTCTGAGAATATTAAATTTCTCATATATTTTATACTTGCCATTTGCTATTATATATTTAAGACATCTGACTTGAAGATTTCCACTTGATCTTATGAGTTAACTTACTTTTGAAAGATGGTGCTCAGAAGAGAATCCCAGTCCATAAACAGTGTTTGCCCGGCTATCGGCCCACTGGCCAAACTTCTGAGATGTTTTAGTAAATGTCATGTTTGGGGTGATGGTGCTATTAATTATTGCCTGAAAAATAAGACAAGTATGAATAGCTAGCCAAAAACTAGCAAAAATTTAAACACAGGACGATTTAGTTCCATAAAAACAGGATTTCCAATGAGTCACAAGATAGCTATAGAAATATTTTTAAATAAATAAATCTTTTTAAATTTATATATTTATTTTGCAAGAGAGGGGGAGAGAGAGAAAATGGGGGGGGAGGGTCAGAGAGAGGGAGAAGCAGATTCCCCGCCAGCCAATCAAGGAACCCGATGCAGGACTCCATCCCAGGACCCTGAGGTTATGACCTGAGCTGAAGGTAGACGCTTAACCACTGAGCTACCCAGGCACCCTAGAAATAGTTTTTAACATTTTAAGTGACAGTGTACAAATATGGTAACTAATAGAACTATAAATATAAAGGTACTCTAACAAAAATTTCAACACTTTACAATCAAAATAAGTTTTCCAATGATGCAAAAAATCTTAAAGAGTTTTTAGTGTGGTCAGTTTCTTTCCTTTGAACATACAGGATCAGTATCTATTAATTTTGAGTAATACTTCCTGGAAGCAAGTAGGCTTTAATAGTTGTTTCTTTAAAAGTAAGGCCCTACCCTCCAAACAATCTTTCAAGAATGAATACATCAACAGAACGAATTTTCTATTTGTCCCTCATTTTCTAAAATCCATAATCAAGAGTTTTCTTAAAGCTGACTTATTTAATTATGATACAGAAAAGACTTTGATTTAGTACTTTTTCCTTTACTCAAGGGAAAAACAAACCCCTCAATATATACTTTACTTCTTTTCTCATAAAGTGGTATAAATTCATGATACAGAGAATCACTATCATTTCTGGTGAGCACATAGTTTCTTAGAAAACTAGTATTCTAGTGTGTTGTTAAATATTAATTTTGGTGATCCCTATAATAAATTCCAACTATTGTTACAACATACTAACTAAAGTACATTCCCTCTGCCAGTACTGAAAAGTATAGAATCAGTCTTAGTTAAGTAGTTTAATGCTCTCCAAACTTGAGATTACAAAGTGATTCCAGTAATAATAATAAAAAAAAATGTTACCAAATTCTTAAGCAGTCATTTGGTGAACTACTAAATGTGGACTGAAAATCAAGCACTTTCAAACCAAAGCTAAAGCTACTGACCATGGAAACAGTATGAATATAAATATTTATGAGCTATGCACATATTGATGAAGTTGCAATAATAAATGTAGGACATTTGTCCTACTAAAGAAGACAGTAAAAGAAAGAGTGGTCCCTTGCTTTCTGTCTCAAACAACAGATGTATTAGCTGTTGTTCTATGAGAGCACTTATCCTTGATTAAGCATTTTTACCTCTGACAAAATTTATATACTCATACCTCCTTTCCCTTCAGTTCAAAAGCTCTTTTTCCTAGCATGTGATTTCAGGATTATGTGAAATGTGGCTAACAAGTGCTCTAACTTGCAGGTTGTCATGAAATGAAAGACTAAATGGAAAAGAATATATTAACAGATGGTAAGGAATGGAATAACAAAAGGTAAGGAATTTGGTTATGGAATCATTTGGTTAGCTTTTTGTCAGCTTTTTTAACTGAGTACCTATTAAATGCCAAGCACAATTCTAGAGACTTGAAATGTAACAATGAGAGGCAATGTAACTGTGGATTACATTCTAAAGCAAGAAGAGTTGGTCAATGAACAAAGAAATAGTTGACTAATTTAATTTCAGAGTGGTAAGTGCTGTGAAGCCCTTAACAGCATGTGATAGAGTCTGAGAGCCTCGAAGGCCAGAACTGGCAGGTACTATGTTAGATGTGGTGGTCTTCAACTGTTCCCTGAAGAGGATGCTTTTGAGCTGGAATCGGAGTGTTTTCAAGGAAATAAGGGCATTTTACATGTGATCGCAGTAACTCTCAATATGTGAGGTAGCAAGAGGTTTTACAGGCATCTAAGAAAACTGACCCATCTGCTGTTCGCCACAGACCTTCAGTTTTAGCTATGTCAAGTGAACTTCTTTATGCTTTTAAGTTTACGAGTTCCATTTTCGCTCCCATTTTGAACCTTTCCTTGCCTCCACTTGTCCTGGGATTACTTATATGGAGATTCTTTACTCACTGAAGAAAAACTTTAAAACAATAGATGATTCCACACTTTAAAAATTATTCATTAGAATTCTTTGACTTGAATGCTTTGAACTATTTGAATATGAATCCACTCAGAAGAAAAATCTTAGTTCTTTAAAATAAATTTGTCTCTCAATCCCAGAGTTCCTGTCCTTTCAAGGAAAACAGGTAAAAATGCTGTGTCATTACAGTTCATAGAGGGCCCTTATTCTGGCCCTCAGCCTTGCTGATGTCTCTGCAACTTGATTAGAAAACCTTTAAGCAAACTTCACATGCACAGTAAGGGCACTAAATGAGAACAAACGGATATTTTCTAATCAGGGGCACCTAAGGGCTTTCCAACTCATCATGCAGTACAGAAATAGAAGTGGGGGTGGGGGGCAGAAAAACACTCATTTAGCTACAAGTTAAACCACTACTGCTTACCAAAAAACAACCACTCCAGCAGGGAACTGCAGTAGCTGCCGGCATCAGTTTTAAAAAGTTAACTAGGGAGTGTAACAGCTACAGATGGTAGATTTTGTTAAGCAAAACAAAAACTCGTTCACAAGAGTTATTTAAGAGTCTAATGATTACAAGCTGCAAAGTATATTCAAAAATGGAAATGCCAGCAGCAATAGTTCCTATTGCTTGAAAACGAAGAACACATGAGAGTTATTTAATCACATGGGACAAGGGAATACTTCAGTTGAACTTTATTCCATTTAACTCTCCCGTCAAATAAAACGATGTCTTTTCTGTGGTTTGGGCTAAGAGGGAAACACAGACTGTAGAGAACTGAAAGTTCTAGTCAGGGAAAATAAATAAATATTCTAGTGTCTGAGATCGTAACAATTAAAATCTGGTGATTTCACTAACAGTTACAAAATATGACAAAATTATTCTTCATTACAGAAGTTTTGTAGAGGCACCTGGGTGCAGTCAGTTAAGCGTCTGCCTTCAGCTCAGGTCATGATCTCAGGGTCCTGGGATCGAGCTTGGCGTTGGGGTCCCTGCTCAGGGGAAGTCTGCTTCTCTCTCTCCCTCTGCCTCTGCCCACCCCCACATGCTCTTTCTCTCTCTCAAATAAATAAATAATCTTAAAAAAAAGTTTTATAGAAATTAACTATTACTATTTCTCAAGTCCTTAAATCCTCCAAGTAAAAATGAAAGAGAATCAATTCTTTTTTTTTTTTTTTAAGATTTATTTATTTGAGAGAGACCGAGAAAGAGAGAGTGGGGTGAGGGGCAGAGGGAGAGAATCCTCAAACAGACTCCCCATGGAGCAGGGAACCCGACGACGCTCGACTCAATCCCAGGACCCATGAGATCTTGACCTGAGCCAAAATCAAGAGCCTGCCACTCAACTGACTAAGCCACCCAGGTACCCCGAGAATCAATTATTTTAATAAATCCACATTAGTCACTTAAGTACAAGATAAGGTGCTAACAGCCCCTGGAGTTCTGTAATCTAGTTAAGGAGATAATGAGTGAGCTCATGAAAAAACAAACTGAAAGTTGAACATTAAATTATCTTTTGTTCCCCAAAACTACTACACAATACATAACGAATAGCCTAAAAATATTAATAATAACAAAAGCAGTCAGTGTTTGCATACTGATTACTATATACCCGTTAAGTGCTTTTGCCTAAATTAATTTATTTAATCTTCACAACAATCCTGTGGTGTAATGATGTAGGTATTAGTTTCTTTTTACAGATGAGAAAATTGAGGTGTGAAGACATTAGGTATCTTGTTCTAGGTCACATGGCTAGTCAGCAGCGGAGCAAAACCTCAAACCAGACAGCCTGTGTCTACGTCTGTGGTCTTAACCCTTACGCTGAATTGCTGCAATTTCTGGGAGCTTTTGAAAGGCCTCATGGCTTCAAAAAAGCTGGCAGGAGAAGAATGGAGCCCTCATCTTTCTATACACATTTTATCCAGAATCCAATGTCTCGTATTTCTGTCTCTCTCTCTGCTATTCAAAATTCATTGATGAAAAAATGGCATTTCCCCTCTTTGAAAGGCATACTAACTACAAGACACTGATCAAAGTGCTCTGCAGATATTAACTCATTTAATCTTTACTAACCCCACTAATGAGGTAAGAACATGAGGCTCAGAGAAGTAATTTGCCCAAAATCAAACACTTAGTAGATGGTAGAGCTGAGCTATGAACCCAGGTGGCCTATGCTCTTAAACATTATACCATCTGCCTCTCCTAAAAATAAAAACTTAGGTCTTGTCCATACACTTCTCTTCAGAATAAGGGATGTCAGCATTGGTGGTTCAGTGGTAGAATTCTCGCCTGCCAGAATAAGGGATGTCAGCTTTAATGGTGACAGTGACCAAACTTCATACCCTTTAGGGACTGTGAACTGCCTACTAATCTACAGAAGTGTATCTGAAAAGAATTCTAGTTCCTTACTAGATTTTACGCTCCAAAAGAGTAGAAACTGTGTCCATTCTGTTTACCACTATATTCATAGCACCTCACGTAGTGCCTGACATGTAATATGCAATGAATATTTATCAAATAAACTGACTTAAAATTTGCAGAATATTTTGGTATGTAAATCAATATAAATAAGGTGGTCAATCCAACTTAGTAGACAAAATATGTTTGTACCCTAAGAATGATCAATTTTGGTTTCTTAAAGTTTTTAAAACTCAAAAGGAAATATTGTATTTTAATAAAGACAAAAATCCTCCAAATAAAACAGAAAATGCTCTACTGCATAAAACAGAAAGATTATTTAAAGTAAATGTAACTTACCTTTGAGCCATCTAAACTGATTATCCTGTACACATTTCTTGTGCTGTCATAGAAATAAGACACAGTAACTGCGTGCTTGCTGGTGGGTACCCAGTTCTTCTTTGTGTTTGGATCAATCTGGAAGACATGAGCTCGAGTGCTGAAGATGGGTTGTTCCCTATAGGGTAAAAAATAAAATGACAGATTGAGAGCAGACAATTTTATTCCACTGGACAACAGAACATGAAAACCGCGAGGATGATTCCACTTAACCCAAAACTCCCACATGCCCCCAAATAAGAGAAATATTGTTTTAAATCTGGAATATTCTAAGTACACAATCATAAGCTTCTTTAAAACAATTACAGTCCATCCTCATTATTTGTAGATTCTGTATTTGCAAATCCTCCCACTCACTAAAAGTATTTGTAACTTCAAAATCAGTACTTGAGGTACCTTCTTAGTCTTTTGCAATTGGAAAGATGTTAATCACCTGATATGTATGTTTCCATCAGAGGTTGATCAAGGAAACACTTTGCCTTCTTGTTTCAGCTCTCATACTGTAAACAAGTGATCTTTTTTGTGATTTAGCACCATGTGTTTCACATTACTGTGCTTTTCGTTGGTGCTTTCTGTTTATTTTTATTTATTTTAAGATTTTTATTTATTTATTTGACAGAGAGAGAGAGAGAGAATACAAGCAGGGGGAGTGAGAGAGGGAGAGGCAGGCTTCCCGCGGAGCAGGGAGCCCGACGCGGGGCTGGATCCCAGGACCCTGGGATCACGACCTGAGCCGAAGGCAGACGCTTAACCGACTGAGCCACCCAGGCGCCCCAATGCTTTCTCTGTTTAAAACAAGCTTCCAAGCATTGTGCTGAAGTGCTATCTGTTCCTAGATGCAAGAAGACTGATTTGTCGTATGGAGAGAATATGTTATGTAAGCTTTGCTCAGGCATGAATTATAGTGCTGTTGGCCATGAGTTCAAAGGTAATGAATCAATAATACATATTAAATAAGGTGTCTTTAAATACAAACACACATAAAACAAGGTTACGTATTGACTGATGAAAATGTGACCAGAGGCTGGTAGAAACCTAATTCTGTATATGCCCTGGGAGCAATCATTCAATATTTGACAATTCAGTGCTCATGGTGCCTTTATAGAACACAACTATCGCAAATAATGAGAATGGACTATATCCTATTAAAATACAAGAATCTTATATTAGACCTTCACTAGGTTAAAAATTTTTACCCATTTAAAACATTATTCTGGTAACATGTAAATAACTTACTGAAAAAGTTTACATTCAATATAATCTCTACTTTATTAAAAGGTATATGGAAAACGAAGTAGTTCACAACCACAGTATCTTTTATTGAGATTAAGGCCTTAAAGATATAGATTTTAAAAATAATTTTTTAAATTTTTTTTTGAGATTTTATTTATTTATTTGAGAGACAGAGAGAGTGAGAGAGAGCACAAGTGGGGAGGAAAGGGAGAAGCAGGCTCCCCGCAGAGCAAGGAGCCCGATGCGGGATTCGATCCCAGGACCCTGGGATCATGACCTGAGCTGAAGGCAGACGCTTAACTGACTGAGCCACCCAGGTGCCCAAAAATAATTTTAAGAACCAAAGCTATTAAAAAATGTATATTCAAAATATCATCAGTTTATTTTACAGTCTGGAAAACAAGCATGCAAATGCAACAGAAGCATTATAATGCAAAATTTTCCAAGTTCTGAGTAGAAGTTCTTCTAGAAAAGCCTTTACCTGGCTTTTTTGTTTTGAGCCCAAATAAAGCTCATTTCTTTCAATTACACAACATCTTTCTTTCCTAAAGCTGCTTAAGGGTCCTAAAGAGAATTTTAACCAGTATTTAATGCTTAAAAATTTAAATTTAAAGAACAGAGAATATGGAAAAGGGAGAAACTAAAAAACAGGCAAGGCAAATCTGGGTCCCTGGCAACATGACTCTACAGGTTAATAATGGGCTGGGTGTCACATATGCCTATGATCTGCTTCCGCCCTTAGAGAGCAGGTATGAAAAGGAGGTACCTTTCCTATAAGTAACCTGCCTCTTCCCAGCTTTATTTCTGGAAACCTCCATTACAGCTTTTCTTATTAAATGAATCTCTTTTGAAGGAACTGATATATTTTATACCATTCCCTAAAAACTGAAGCAGAAAGCCATCATTTCTGGCTTAACTCACATTATATATAGATTCATCCAATAAATAATTATTAACAATCTGGCAAGACTTTGCGCCGGGATGAAGAATTCTCCTGAATTGGGAATAGGTCTTATTCATTCCTTGTTTCCCCACCTTCAATCCTTCAGTTTTTCAATGAGGCTGATGCTACATTTGGGTTATCCTCCAAAAGCCCTGCAAACCTCAAGTTTTCTCTTCTTCACCTTTTAATTAAAGTTCTAGGTATAAAGTGTAGTTGGTCAGCCTGACTGTAACTATTTCCAATTCACAGGAAAACCCAATCACACAAAACTGTATTTATTAAGGCATGGAAGGAAGGGAAGTAGGAACTCTAGTCTTTACTAACAACTTTTCCCCCCATGTGACAGGGAATAAATTTCTAAATAGTGCCGGATATTACAATATATGTATTTTATAAAAAACTAAAACAGTTAAGGAGCACCTGGGTGGCTCAGTTGGTTAAGCACCTGCCTTCAGCTCAGGTCATGATCTCAGGGTCCTGGGATCAAGCCCCACATCGGGCTCTCTCCTCAGTGGAGAGCCTGCTTCTTCCTCTTCCTCTGCAACTCCCGCTCCCCGCCCCGCTCATGCGCGTATTCTTGAACGGCACGCTTGCTCTCTATCTCAGATAAATAAAATCTTAAGAAAAACTAAAATAGTTAAGACAATGATACTGCTTTTTACAAGCCTTTTAACAAATCCTTATCAATAGAAATCCAATGTTGTAAAGTCTAATACTTTTTGTTTTAATTCAAACAATTATATTAATCTGCACAATTAATCCACACCATTCAATTCCCTCTGAATAAAAATCTTTAGAGTAAACTAAATGTTTTACAAATGTGTCTTGTGAATCTGAATGTCAACTAAGTACACTGCTTTTCTTCAATTCTGTCCTGAATAGGTGATTTCTTAAAATTATAGTCCCAGATTTCTGTGGTCAAAAGCCTATCAAAGTCTAGATGAAAAAGGTTAGGAAAATAATGTCACTGCTGACACAGGGAACAGGATTCCTAGAAGTAATGAGGAAGTTACCACATCTATCAAGGCATACTAATCAATGGTTCAGACTTCTACTGAATATCTACTACATACCAAAAACAGAGAAATGGTCCCTGCCCCTGAAAAGTTCAATTTGATGAGGGAGGACAAATGTCAAAAAAATAAAATGCTTTTCACCATGATACCTTCTCTGAAAATAAGTGGGAGCTACCATGGAGAAACTGATGTCTAGGTAGAGTTTGAAACAAAGTATGGTATGGTGGGAAGAAGGCACAGTACACTGGGGTGTGTAGTGAGTATGAGTGCCTTTGAAGAATGAGCCTAAAGAGAGAAGCCAGTTCATGAGGGTCCCCTCCAGAAACTACCCAGAGATTGTAAAGAGAGAACAGCTTTGCATTTTAGAAAGATAAATTTGGCAGTACTGAAGCAGGTGGATGGGACGGAAACAAGATTGAACAGAGGACAGCTAGTCAGACCCTTACGAAAGAAACCCAAATATTAGAAACAAAGAGGAATGGAGGTAGGGGGTGGGATAAAGACGTGAGGAGGGATTAAAGGTATTTTTAGAAAACAGAATCAGTAAGATTAAGTAACACATTGGCTGTAGGGCAGTGTTTCTCAAATGGGGGCGATTTGTCCCCTGTGGAACATTTCACAACGTCTGAAGACATTTTTGGTTGTCACAACTGAAGGAGATTGCTATTGGCACCTAGTGGGTAGAAGCCAGGGATGTTGCTAAACATCTACAATGCACACAACAGTCCCCTACAAGAAAGAACTATCCAGGCCAAAATGTCAATAGTGCCCTTAGCCAGGATGGAAAACAGAAAGTAAAGTCTGGGATTGGGGGAGGGAGAAATGGCAGAGGATGAGCTCAGTTTTGAACAGTTCAGATGCGTGTAAGGGTTTGCATCTAAAACTGTCAGGATAGGAACTTAAAAATATTAGTTTGGAACGCAGTAGAGAAAACCAGTCTGGAGTAAAAAGTTGGGGGAGTCATCAAGAGATCTAATCACTAGTCTGTTTAAGATACATTCCAACAACACTAAGCATGTGGATAAATTTCATTTTAGAGAAAAGCTGTAGAAGCAGCAGTAGAAAAACTATACCTGAAATCTTCAAGCTCTTATTTCTTAAGAGGATCTGTAAAGCATTTGAAACTTACTGTCCCAAGAGTCCAACTGTTAAAGTTAATACTTTTTCAAATAAACTGGATGGCATTCATCAATAAAGGTTACACACACTACTTCCTTCATGGCAGTTCACACAAATACAAACTGCATCAAATACCATTATTTCCCAAAGTATATTCTATGGAACAGTCCTAGAAATAAATGTTCCATGTTTAAATAAGTTCTGCAAACACTGTTACATCCCATCCTGAAGCACTTATAATGCACCTTAGTATATTAAAGATCTTAAGAAGTCCTCCAGTAAAGAAACCCATTAAGCCTGAATAACCCAACATGTGGCAAAATGATCTAATTCCAGAATTCTTTTCCATGTAACACGTTAACATCTCATAGGACTTATGTTTATAACCACAATGGTCTGGATATTCTGCCATTTTTACTGACGTTATTAATTGTCACTAGAAAATATACATCAAAGATCCAATACAAAAACTGAAGCCTTTTTAGTAACGACTACAGTATTATTTCTTAAATAGGTGTCTGTTAATGGCATTCAAAGTAACTCTTCTAAGGGATTAATCTAAAAATCAATTTTAAAAGCAAATAGATTTTGGCAGGAAATGCTTTAAACTAGCTTAAAGAAACAAAACTGAATAGATACACCGCGTGCGTGTACACACGCACATACACTTTAATCCTAGAGAATCATCTACTTTGTCATTTCTTACATCAATAATCTGATGTAAAATCTTATAATAGGTCATAGGTCATTCAAATGACCTATTATAAGACTTTAGCCAATTTTCCAGTTGGCTCAAAATAATTCCAA